CCCCCCCCCCCCCCCCCCCCCCCCCCGCAGGGTTTTGGGGGGTGTTCGGCCCCGGGGGGGTCCTCCATGGGCTGTGCGGGACCCCCGTCCCCGCCCGCTCCCCTCTGGCCAGCAGAGAGTTAAGTTACGGCCCCAAAAAAGGCTGCTAGTAGGGAGCCCCAGTGGCCTAATGGATAAGGCACTGGCCTCCTAAGCCAGGGATTGTGGGTTCGAGTCCCATCTGGGGTGACTCTTTTCTGCTGCGGGGCGCCCCGGTTTGCGGGGCTCCCTGCTGCGGGCGGGGGCGCCGCAGCCCCGGGCACCCCCGGCCCCGGCGGCCCGAGGGGGACCGGAAGGGTAAAACCGCGGAACGAGCGTGGAAGGCGCTTTTAGTCCACCGTGGGCTCTGCTCAGCCAAATTTTGCAAATCTTGCTGTGCCGCCCGGGGAGGGAGGCCTGAGCCGCGGGGGGCTCGTCAGTGAGGTCCCCCGGTCACGGAGGTCTCGGCTGGGGCTGCTGCTCTCCCGCTTGATGTTTGTGGGATGGCTTCTGGGTCAGAAATGCGGCTGGAGCAGCGACGCCCCGCTTGCTTGCGGGGGCCAGGGCACGGAGCTGTGGCTGGCTTTGCCTGCGCGAGGCGGCTGGCAGCCACCCCTCTCCCACGCAGAGAAGCTTTAGGCGGGAGAACATGGCGTTATCTTTGCTCCGCTTGCTGGGCAGGGCGCGCACGGCGGTGGAGGCGGCCAGCCTGCGGCGGGGGCCCGGGAGGGATGTCGGGGTGTGCTGGTGCGCTCCCGCATCCCCAGGCAGCCTCTTTGGGGGGGATGCGAGCTCTCTGCTTTTGCAGACGTGAATGCTGGGCTGCGTAAGGGCAGAACTCAAAAGTTCCCCTTCCGCGGGGGACCGGGCACCGGCCGTGGGAGAGGTGCAAGGTAGGAGAGGTGCGAGCGCCCCGTGCACCTCGCCGTGCCCCAAGCCCAGTTACGCTCCAGGGCCCAGCGCTTTCCCTGCTGATTTGGTTCTTGCCTAAAACAGAACGGCCTCCCCTCACCCCAGGTGGGACTCGAACCCACAATCCCTGACTTAGAAGGCCAGTGCCTTATCCATTAGGCCACTGGGGCCCCACAAAAAGGTGAAAAAAGTGTAATTTCCGTATCTTTGAGACCCCCCCAGTAAACCGGTGGTGGCAACATCCACATTAAACCACAGAACTTCGTTCTGTTTAAACAGGGCCCGCTAACGAGGGACTCGTGAAGCCTGCAAGAGCTGAGTTTGAGGTTTATGGCGTTCCACCTCAAGGGCCAGAAGCCTCCTGTGCTTACGGGGTGGCTCCCGACCAGGGAGCGACTGCCTCCCGCCAAATTCCTGCCGCGGCTTTGGGTTAGTTTAACAAAATGGCGTGCGCTTTTTTCTGGTTAGGAAAAAAAAGCAACTAAAATGGAAGGAAAGTGCTTAAAATGGTGAATACTCTATTTGCGACTTAGTGGTTAGACTGCTTTTACTCTTCCCTTCCCCAAAAATCTGCTGCTGCTTATGTGTTCAGCAGCAGAGGGTGCTCTCACAGAGCAGCGGGCTGGATGAAGGGGGCACAATAAAAAAAAGTAGCTGACAAAAGCCTGAATTTTTAGTTTCTCTCAAACACGAAGAATAATTTTTCTGCAAAATGATTGACGGGCTGTCACAGTGTATCATCAGGTTCAAAAGGAGATGTTAAGTATTTTTATTTACACTTTTACACCACTTTTATTCAAGATAGGTCATAGAGTTTAGCATCGTTTCCAGCTGCCAACGCCATTTCTTTAAAGACGGTATGCCAAGGACTCCGATCGCTGCTGGTCTCAGTCAAAGTCTGCCTTCCTGCTCTGTTTTATATCTGAGTGTATCTTTTTCTGCCGTAGTCGTTCACGGTTCATTTTTTCCACCCTAAAACAAAAAGACAAGATCCTTTAGCGTACAAAGAAAACATTCAAATATTCAACTTTGAGCATAATTATAGATTTGATGAGCCAAGAAATGTCCACAGACAGAAAAACCAGTCCCTGTTCCTGGGATGCTGCCCAGGAAAGCAGTTAAGATCTAACGGACCTGTGATTTTTTTTTTTTTTAGAAAGGAAATCCTAACGAGTATGAAGAAGATGGTTTAAAGAGGCTGCAAACTAAATCATGGAACACAATAATCAGAAATAAAGGCCACTTCAATCAAGGTACCTCTCTATGAGTTTCTGCGTAGTCTCCTTAGACACCACCTTGGGCTTCTCGGTCGCCTCCGTGACCATGGCTCTGATTTTTTCTAAACAAATCGCCAGATTCCTCATTTGGTAGCGACTCTCCTCAGAGTTCACAATCAGCTCACCAGCTCGGTTTATCTTATTCCTGTGCTAAAGAAGGGAAACCAGGATGCGATCGCTGAAACCTCATTAGATTTGTCACGGTCTGTCTGCAAGCGTGAGGTGTAAACCGTGGCTGGGGGCGGGGGGTAGTTACCATCGATGCCATTTTTTGTCTCACAGCTTCTGGAATCCAGTCTGCCGACGCCAGGTGGAACCGAACTTCTGCCTTGCTGTTCACTGGGAGGAAAAACAGGATCTTTTTTTCAATGTACTGGCTCGCCTTCCTAAGTTTTATGAGAGAATTCAGTCTGTTCACTGCTGGCTTTGAACACAGGATGATTCCAGTACTAGCTTCCTGAAAGATCATGATTTTTTTCTCGCTATATTTTCCCATACCACTCCACAAGACACACTCTAAATTTTTATGGAGACTCTGTCATGGCATTTGCCTTTCTAGACATTACAAGATTTATTGCTACTGCCAGTCGCCTAACTACCTTATTTTTAATACAAAACAGGAAGGCTTTTCAGTTTATTTGAATTAAGCTGAGAATTTATTGCACTGTGAAGTTTCAGAATCCAGTCGGTTGGTTGTACGTTCAATGAAAGCAGATCAGAGAGCAGCGGTGTGACGTGTGGCAGCAACGATCTCAGCACGAGCGTTTCTAGGAGAAGCCCGTACATTCTCGAGCATTGTGAAGCCTTAGAAGTTGTGTTTAAAACGTAGGGTAATGATAATGAAAAATTAACATTGGGCAGCACAAAGATGCTCGATTTCAAGCTCCCAGTATTTCAGCATAAAGTGTAAAGAAGCAAGTTGAAGATTTGGTTTTTTTTTTTTTCCCTTCAAAGTCTCCTCCTCACCTTTGTTAACGTGCTGCCCGCCGGGGCCGCTGCTCCGGCAGTAGGACACGGTCAGGCGAGCTGGAAGGG